GCTCTGCGGCAGGGACAAGCTGCGATATTGAAAATCGCGCACCCAGATGGGCAGCCAAACTGCAGGACTGCGACTCGTACACATTAAATTATATTCACACTTTGGCCCCCAGAAAATGAAATGGTTTTAAATACGGAGGAAAGCCAAACAAGACGGAGATCGCATTGGAGATCAGCAAACAGCTTTAGACGGAGCAGAATGCACTTGAACAAAAAGGATATATGTAAGGAATATATTCCTGATTGCTGAATTATTCAAGACCAAATATTATGATGTGTTGCGTTTTCTTTAAAATATTGTTATAAATTGAAAACTATTTCATATGTGTTACATTGTAACCTTTATCTATTTTTTCCTTAAACTTTCTTAGTCTTTAACACAAAAAAAATAATTTAAAAGATATTGTCTCACTTCTTATTTATTTTCTTTAAATCCTTTAAAAAGCTTTTAACGCCCCATAAATTTGTTAGAAATTAAAACCCATAGATTTCATGTGTTTTAAAATGTATTACATATTAAAATTATTTATTTAATATTTCCTTAATTTAAATATGATTCTGAATGAAAATGCATGGGATATATGCATATTTTCAGTGCAGAAGGCAGGATGCGTTATGGCCAGACAGTTGGACACTTGGACATGGAAAGAGGTGGGACTGGGGATGGAGAAGAGTCTTGGGCATAAGACCTGGGCCTCAAACGATCTCTCCCTGGACCATTCTACGTTTCTGATTCTGTTTCTGTTTCTGTTGTTGTTTCTTTTTCTGTTCCTGCCCCATGCCTCCGACTGTGGCTCGCTTATCATCATAACAATAATGTTAAAGTGGCAAAATGGCAAACTATGCGCAAAATGCATAAAATTTATAGCCAACTGGACCGGGCAATGGCAAAACAGATTTGTATTTGTTATTGTATCTGTATCTGTATTATTGGCCCATGTTTTTTGCGCATTTCACGCTTCCGCTCTTGTATGGATCGCTGGTCAAAAGTTGGGCCCAAAACGAACACGATCACAATGGGACACATGCGGTGGCAGTTTCTGTCGAGCTGGCCATTGGATCAGTGGATCGGCTTCTGTGGGGGATCGAAGCAACCTGAAGTGGGGCTACAAATTCGGGGCTCATGGGGTGAAAGGTCCTGCAAAGTCTTGCGGATCCAGAAATTGTGGGGAACCAAGCATGCTTCCTGATTCCTCATATAAATATTATTAATCTTATAACAACCTTTTATAATATAACAATTAAAAATGAATAAGCATAAGCAATAACGTTTTCAAAAGATGTTTTTTTTGTTTAGTGTGCTATAAAATGCCTTTAATCGTATTTTATATCAGATACAAATTAAACAATGTCCTTGGGAAAATCAAATATTTATTTAAGTCAACTAATTTATTTGTATAGCAATTAATGAGGTCTTAATAAAAAACATCGAAATACTTGTAGCTTAATTTAAATTTAGCTTAAGAAGTATATCACAGAATTTAAATATCTTTACATAAGAGAATTATTTAGTCTATAGCTACATATATTTGGAAGTTGATATTATTTTTGCCTTTTATTTATGAGAGGTTTCTAACCCATTTTGTCCAGTTCAATTTCCCCAAATTACCCTAATTTTTGCTATTTCTGCTTAGCCAACCGCTTTCACCAATATTTTGTGTAATGGCTTTCCGCTGATTAATGCCAGTTCAATAGCTCTCGCATAGATCTATATTTACCCGCGGGATATGGCGTATAATTGGTCATCTAAGAGCCACTCCCTTCGCATGCTTGGCGAAATGTAAACAATTAACTGGCCAATGCAAATATGAATGAAATTTTCCCCCACAAGCCAATTACTCAAATCAAGTTGGAAAACGAGGAAGTGAGCTGCCAATGAGTGTAAAAAGGCAAACACCTTGAAGCGCATAAATTAAACCGCATCGACAGTTCGGAAAATTCGGGGAGAGGGGCTGCGAATCATTGGGATCCAATCCAGTTTTGGCTGCAGGCTGGCTGGCAAATCGAAGATGGCCATAAGAAGTGGCTAGAAGTCAGCGGATGGCAGGAATCTGCAGATGAGTGGGCGCTGGCAATTGAGCCAATTGAAAGCCCACAACACGTATACGCCCCGTTGCACTTGACTCGCCATAACGATGGCTTATTAAATATTGAGGAGTATTCTGTTTTTTTTTTACCCACACCACACCCCCATATTAAATCGTATAAACCGCTAGGCTAACTAATGAAGCGCACACGCATAACTTAAGACCAGTCATTCGACATTTGTCGGGCTTGTTGTGGCATCTCGCATTAATAAAACATCCAAAACAATCAAGCCAACAACGGACAAAAGAGCCAACTAATTTTTGGAAGCGTCCAAACTCGTTTTTAACACCTCAGGGGTGGAGCCTCGATTGGTGCGAAAGAGACGGAGCATTGGGGGGAGGGAGAGGGGCTGAGTTGGGGCCATCACAGAAATCAAGTCACAATAAAATGTAAATATTCTCGTGTTTGGAGAGCGTCGAACATTTCGCTTTGGCGATTAATTAAACACTCATTAAGAATTTGTTCAACTCGGCCGATTAATTAAAAGGCTGTTAAATGTGAAAAGGGCAAAAACAAAGCAATCGGCGATATAAACAATTTAACTAATGTCCATCAAAAGACTCCAGGCACAAAGCTGCCACAATAATACTGGAAATATATTGGTTTTGCATCGATTTAATTTGCATACAGTTGGCGGTCACTGTTAAATTGCTTCAAAATTAAGTTAATTCAATCTTTTAAGCTTTTTTAAATATTGCCGTAAAATTATTTGAATATTTTTACCTCTGTTATAAACTTTATTAAGATAGGATTAACAACAAGAGCGTTCTTTAAAGAACTTATAAGCATTTTATTTTAGATTTTTTTGATTTTGAAAATAAAAAGTATAATTGTCAATACATTCCTTATTCCCAATAAAAAAATATAATTAATTATAAATATTTTCAATCCTTACTGTGACCAACTTGGCAATATGCCACTGATGAACCGCACTGTACCATGAAGGGGATGACAAATGCCTTCGGTGGAGCTGTTGATAAATGCCCACAACTTCGGGGGCTGTTTGAAAAATCGTTGGGCCAAAGATCACGCAACGACCAAATTGAAACGTCACCAGTCACAGGCGGCCAAGATTGTTATTGTTGGCCGACTGGTGCTGTTTCTCCATGAATATTAACACATTAAAATGGTAAACGTGGTTGAGTGAAAAATTAACCCAAAGCAGCCGAAATGTGGCTGCGGCTGCAGCGTAAATTATGCAAAGTCATCAAGTCAACGTTATCCAAACATCAATGGCCTGCGAGGCCTGGGAAAAATTAGCATAAGCCAAGCGGTTCGACGGAATGAAGAGGAGCTCCTGCCCGAGGGCCAACTGGCGGAAGGGACGAATCGCACACTCCGGCAAAAGTGGGATTGAATTTTTCGAATTCTTGAGTTCTTCAAAAATGACCACACGAAAAATTACATTTTATATTTTTAGTTAAAACTAAACTACTTCTAAGTTGAGGTCATCCTTTTAGCAAATAATTATAAATGATGAAAATAATCAAAAACATTAATATAGGAAAGCTTTACTAATTTAAATGTATTCTCAGACTTACAAATTGTTTTTTTTTTCAACAAAATGGGGAGCAGAACTTCGATTTTGTAAATGAATAAAAAAAAGGCTTAAGTTTTTTTAATATACGAAAATGCTTTGTAATTAAAATAGTCGGAAACTGAAATTCTCACTTTTAATAATAATTATTAACTTCCTTTAATCTTACTCGAATTTGTTATTTATTGATTAAGTTTCACCTTCTACGACTAAAAATCCAACTCATGCTTATCAATTCTTAAAAATGAATCTGAATCTGAATATTCAAGTTTTTTTGCAAGTGCAGGAAGCCAGAGTTAAGGAACAGGGAATGGCCCAGGCATGGCAGGAATGCCACATTGATGCAGTCACTTTGATAGCGCGACATTAACAGCAATTTATATGCAAATGCAGCAGCGCAGGGAAAAGGAGAATGGGATGCAACGGCGACTTCCACAAACTGATTGATGGTCCCATTTCGAAAGATGCCAAAGTGCGTAAGCCAAAATACAGGACTTCGAGCAGATTGAGCAGGAGCAGGAGTGGGCCATGTAGGCAGCATCATTAATGCGAATCATTAGCAGTGCTCGTTGATAAGATCGGGTGCAAATTATGCAGCAGTCGCAGCTGGAACAAAGCCCTCAAAATGCAGTGGGCCCCTCCCTTTTGGCCATGATTCATGGCTGCTCAAAGGCTTTCAAAGGGGCGGTGAGTGCGTAATTTGTAATTGCCAATTAAAATTGCTCCAATGAAGATGTGAAAGCTGTTTAAAAAGCTAGAACTGGAAAACCTTGTGCCTTAATTAGGGGGAGGATCTACATTAACATTATTGATGTTTTGAGGGTGCTTAGCAGTGCTCCAACAACTGTTGGGTAAGGCTGCAAAAGAACGTATAAAATTAATAAAATATATATCAAATATGTACTTTAAGTATTCAAATAATTTGTCAGGTCGCAATTTTTTATAGAAGTAATCATTCAGTCAGAATAAATATAACCATAATTTAAATTAGTTTCCATTTTTCTTTAATTTATTAATATATCTACAGTTTTTAATGAGTTTTTTGGTGCAGGGCTTCGAAATTCAAAAAATTTTAAATAAAAAATATATATAATATGTAAAAACTTTACAAATTACAAAAACTTAAAATATTGGTGACATTGTTCTAAGTTTACTATACCAGAGGGTCCATTTGTTCTAAGAAAAGCCCAATTTCAGTTAAAACATTTTAAATATTTTCGTTGAGGAATTTAAATTACGCGGGTTACTGTTTAGTATTTTCTGTATACCAAATATTCCGTCGATGACAGTGTGGCCAGCTGCCGGCGTTTTCAAAATGCGCGCATTTTCCAGCCGCTTTTGCAAAGCGTTTCGGTATTCTGGGTGGAAACAAAGAAGCCCCAGAAGTTCACAGCTGGTGGAAAGGGAAAACCCATAAAAGTGTAGAAATAGGCACGGTTTTACAAATAGGCCAAAGAAACCGTAGGGATCAGGATGAGTGCGGAGGAACAGGCAAATCTTCTGCGGGTGCTCGTCAACTGTGCGGAGAAGGCGGCCAATATCGCCAGGACGTGTCGCTCCAACGAGGAACTCTTGGGACTGCTGGTGCAGGAAAAGAAGGGATCGGAGGCCAACGAGCGGTTCGAACATGACTTTAAGACCCTGGCCGACGTCCTCATCCAGGAGACAATCAAGCACGAGGTGGGGTCGTTATTTCCGGCCATGCAGGATGCGATCCTGGGCGAGGAGTCGCCAAACTTCACCAACAAACTGGGCGAGAGCGTCACAATTGCAGTGGGATCGAGTGAGGAGGACACCGTCTCCTGTCTGCAGGCCGTGCTCAGTGGCCACGAAGAAGCGGCTAGTGCTTTGGCCAAGGAAGTCCATCAGGAGGTCAACTTCACCAGCGAGAAGCTGGGCAAGATTCCCGAATTGCCGGAGGAACTGGACTACGCCAACCTGGGCATCTGGATCGATCCTATTGGTGTGTATTTGCTAAAACTTTTTGATATTTTATATCTTTTTAACCACAAATACATATATACTCAGAACTTTTAATAAATCAAACCTATAAATAATATTACATCATCTGTGTAGGTTGGAGAAGGAGGCAACTTCCTTTAAGTTCATAATTTCAGATATACTTTTGTATATATATTGTGAATATAGATATGTAATCGAGTTCTGGAATTTAGTAGACACATGTACATGATATTTTTCTTTTAATGAAATCTTAAGTCAATGTTAAGGGTTCTTTGAACCAGATCTAGATATAACTTGACCAAATTAAATCTAAGTATTTCTTTATTATACGATTTGTATTACCCGTAGCGGTATATAATAAAGATTCTACCTAGTATACGTATTTCTAAAATATATTTTGTTCTTTTGTTTAGACGCCACCGCCGAGTACATTTCGGGCGACACCATGTTCACCGATTTTCCAGGGATCACATCCACCGGATTGGACTGCGTCACCGTGCTGATTGGCGTCTATGAGCGGGACACCGGAGTGCCGGTGATCGGCGTGGTGGCCCAGCCCTTCGGAGAGAAGTTGGAGGAGAACGTGTACAGCTCCTCTATGTTCTGGGGTGTTTGTCTGCCCGCCCTGCAGGCCCACAATTGCAATTTCGAAGCACGAGACGAAAACCGTCGGTTGGGAATCTTCTCCAGCTCGGAGCAATCCGATTTGCTTCAGCGCTTCTGCGATCTGGGCTACGAGTTTGCATTTTCCGCGGGTGCGGGCCATAAAGCCTTGAAGGTGATTACCCACGAAGTGGATGTGTATCTGCTCAGCAAGGGATCGACCTTCAAATGGGACACTTGTGCTCCTCAGGCCATTTTAAGAGCGCTCGGGGGAGATGTCCTGGATTATACAGCCAGTGTGGCGGAACAAAAGGCCGTTCCTTTGAAGTACCTGATGGAGGACAGTGAATCCGACGCGGATTGGAAAAGAAATGCAGGTGGTTTAATCTCCGTTCGCAATGTCAATGTTGTGGAGGAACTGCTTACCAAACTGGCCGAATAATGAATGTTGTTATTATTGTTATAATTATATTATTGCTGTATTTGATCCAATGTAAGAGTGAGTCGAATTGATATCCCTCGAAGGGGTAGAAACTAGTCCATTAAATTTATTAACTAAACCAGTGAAAGTAGGATAATATTTTTCCAAAACATGTTATTGTGCAAGCAAATGTATGAAATTGTTTTACGTTCTATCCAAGTCCATACATATAAATTGTTAGGCCCACACAAGTCGACTCACTCTACTAAACTTAAATTTCCAAGATAGTTAAAAAATGTTGTGAATTGTTAGTAAATGTGAAAGAAATTTTAATGTATTAAATGATCTCCTTGGGACCGGCTAAGATTTGTCTTAGAGGAAACTTTTACAAAAAAAAACGAAATGATTTTCTTAATCCTGTTCGGAAATACACTTTAGTGTACTATAAATACTATAAACATATGAAGTAAAACGATATATCCGGTCAGTAACTTGAAGTCGTAACTCTCGTTAAATTAGGCAGCAGTTTGGTTAAGTATATTCTCCAAATTGGGAACCGTTATGAGACGAGTATCAGGCTCGGGACCATCTTTAACGTCACATTGGAACTTGCTCTGGTGAACTAGGTAAAGCTCCAAAGCGGCAAAATTCTTGGATTTGTCGAAGCCTGAAATTCAGATAAGATTAATGTAAGTGTGGGATATTGGATTGTAGGGATTTATTTACCATCGATATAGCACTTGGTGGCATAAACGCCTTCCAGCAGATCCTGGGAAATCGGCTTGAGATTTTTTGGGCTCACATATTCCCAGTTTCCAAAGTCGCAGTACAAGATCTTGACAACATTGTCTTTGACCTCCTGGCAAATTCCGCGATACCAGCTTTTGTCCTCGCTAAACATCGCCAAGCACAGTTCACCAACACTATAAATTAATAATTAAAATATGAATTCAATTGTTTTAAACAGTTCTTACTTTGGTATATAGCCCGGCACAGCGTTGTGGCCGCACTCTCCTTGCTTGGCTACCAAATTAAGCAACCTTTGGAATTCCTCGGCAACTTTTCCGTTCTGAAAAAAGCAGGCGGTGATGTAGCCAGTCTCTGTCATTCCACCAGCGTTTAACAGGATTATGTTGACCTTATCGCCCAAGGGCACCAGATATTTGGGCATAGCATTGAAAAAGAAGCGCTCGAAGGGCTTTTTGGATGCGCCTTCCATTAATTCCGGAGTGTCCACGGAATGGAAAGGAGCAGGTGAGTCCGGAGGGGAAGGCGGCAGCGGGGGTAAATCTTTAGCTGGCTCCATCAAAAATGGATCCGACTGCTTGCAAGCAACAGGTGATGGTGCTGGAGTGGGAGCAGCAACCTTCTCTTTCTCCTGCATCGGCGTAAACATGAGTGGTAGCATTCGGTTTACCAATGAGCGCTGTTCCCCGGAGTTGGACAGCAGATCTACAGTTGAAGTACTCGCATCTTCCATTTTCAAGTTAAAAATTTCCTCCTGGGTGCTGACCAAGTGCAGCAAGTGGATGGCCGCATTGCTGGCGGGCACAGCAGTATCCGGAATATTGCAGACGGTCTTCAAATTGACGCGCAACAGGCTGACGGGCATATTGTCCAGGAAGCGACAGGATTTACGCAGCACCGTCAAATCCAACTGGTGATTGGCACCTGTATCGACGTTCACTACATTATACATTCCGTCCTCAACACTCAATACCTGCAAGGATGGAGAGATTTTTAATTTCTATAGATCAATCTAGGTTATCCACTGACCTCGCCTCGGAAATGTGCTATCTTCTTGGAAACAACCAGCACGTTGCAGCCAACGGAAACCTCGCTGGCCTCTTTGAAAGCGGGGCATTTCGCCTCCAGACGCTTGAAGATGCCTGCATACTGCTTGCTGCTCGGTGAGCTAACGTAAACCTCCTTAAAGCTGACGACATGGGTGATGAACACGGAGGCATCATTCACGATGGGTTCGCTCCAGATCTTATGGCCTAACTCGGAAATCTGACCCAAAAAGGTGCTGAGTCGGGCCATACAAATCTGCTCACCCTTGGCAAGCAAGGCGGCATTTGCCGCTCTCAACTTTTCCTTGGGAGGCGGATTATCCAACTTAAACTTGACCGTTAGATCAGCTCCACAAGTCTCAAGCTCTTTTGGCACAGAGTCCTTAAGATGGGCGGCAAACACACGGATGGGCAAACCAAGTAGCTCGCTGGGAATGCGGGTCAGCTCACTGGTGACAGATACCCGTCCCTCATCCATTTCGTAAACCAAGAACGTTGGCGTTGGCCTTACGATATGGTCCAAAAGGAAGGCTCGCCGATAGCCATCCTTTGTGCGAGCGGCCACAAAGAATGTGCACTTGTCTTCCGGAAAAGGTCCTGTGAACGGTTGCCCCGGCTTTCCAGCCAAACTGGCGTTTAGGTCCTTGTTTATGTGATCCATCACGTTGATCTGGAGAAGAGCCACCTGCGACTCGTTGGCCGTTGCATTCTTCTCAAACACCCGGATTACCTTGACCTCCGGATTAAGCTGCAGCATCTCCATGGGCAGACTTAGTGGTATGGTCATCTTGGGCTTGAGGTGGACGTGGTAAACGCCATCGTGAGTTCGAGTTCCCAGCAAACGGAGCGTGAGGTTCTTATTGACCTGAACTCCAGTGTTGGTGGGCAACTTCACCCGGAAAGCGAAAGCATTGAACTCGGCTATCTTGGGGACAATGTCATATATATCCCGGAAAGGAGTGCAAACCACTGCTCCATAGTCAATCATGCGGATGTCGGCCTCTTGGTTTTCAGAGCTGACAGTCAGGACCTGACCTCGGTGGATCTTGCTGTCTACATTGATGACCACCAGGGTGTTCTTCTTGACGTGTTGCGAACGAATCAACTTCTGGTTCTGCATGCAGCGCTGCATGTTGTCCGTCATACGCTCCATGCTCTCCACATCGACCACGAGCACCACCCAGAAGGGTCCTTCCTTCTCCATGAAGGTCACACGGCACTCGAAGAACTCCTCGCCCTTCGGCATCAGGTGATCGCGCCAATTCTCAGAGAGTACCTCATTTTTCTTCACAGGGACAACCGGTGTTGAAGTTGGATTTTTGATAAAAGATTCAATTTTGGCCGGGGTTTCAGCCAGCGAAACTTTGGACACAGCTGTCTCTACGGTTTTGATGGGGTTCGGATTCGGCAGATGCTGAATCGGTCTGCAGGCCACCAAGGGTCTGGAAAAACATTTTATTTAAACATTGTTTTAAAATTTTTTTTTTGAAATTATATGTTATCTAGGAAAGCCGATCTAAAGTGGCAAGGATCTTATGCACTCGTAGCCATATTCTTGTGAACGCGGGTGTGCGTTTTTGCATGTTTGGGATTAATTTACTAATTTCCTATTTTACTCACGGCATGATGATGCAGACGTGTTTGTGCCGCTGCCAATCCAGCCGTTGGCATCCGTCCTTGCAATAAGGTTCTCCGCACCGCTGGCACATTAGCCCGGCCGGATTTCCGCAGACGACGCACAACATTTCTATTTCGTCTGAATTAGTCATTCTAGAAATTGTTGAGAAAAGAAAAAGACGCCACGCGGGATAATGAATGAACGAAGTAAACGGTAAAGCGAAAAGAATCCAAAAGAAAATGGCGCTCTAACGGAACTTTTTATCGAAAATTGCGTAGTTTGCGGAAGAACACCAAAATAAACGATTCACTAGCAGTTTAAGCTCTTTAGACTTTAACCTAAACGTTTACTATGATCGGAAGTGTTTTTAAAACGAGCCAGCGTTAAAATGAATTCCTTTATTTAAATTTAAAGCTCAGAAGCGAGCGCCAACGCGACAAAGAGAACAAGAAAGATGTCATGAAACTCAGCTTTTGTCAGAGATGTTAGAGATGGAGAAACATCGATGTTAACATCTTTGTCATCGAGTTTTTAAAACATCTGTGGTATCGATGTTTTGAAAATCTTACGCCAATTCTGTTAACGAGTAGTTGTGTTTTACAACACTGTTGGTAAATATACTTGTACCCAAATTTGTTCTGGTTTATGTTTTAAATAGAGTGGAGTGAAGAATTTCGGTTATATAATTAAAAAAAATAAGTAAAATCAACTCCTTATTTAGCCAGTTTAGGTAATTTTGCCAGTGATCCTTGCTAGTTTTCTGAAGGCAGACCTGTCCACACTTTTGTCGCACGTCTTTGTTATCGATAATTCCCGCCTCTTCTGGGCGTTAAGTGAATTTCGCGAAATATTTGTTTACCAATTGAATATTTTGGAAATAAGAGCTTCCAGTGGATTGGCATCCAAGATGAGCGCCAGCAACAAGACGTCGCGGAAGCAAAACCTTAAATCCATAGAAAATCTCACGAATTCGGAAGAGGACTCCGATTATCTGGACACACCAATGGTTGAGGATGCCGGGGAATCCGATTCCAAAGACACCAGGCGCCGTTCCACCCGCCGACCAAGTCCCACCAAGAAATACCAGGCCTTCAAAAACGAAACCAATGGAAAAACGAAGGACTATGCAGGGATGTCGGATGAATTGAGCAGTGAGTCGGAGGATCTGGAAGAAGAAGAGGCTACGGAGGAGTTGGAGAATGCTGTCCGTCCCAGTTCAAAGGATCTCAACCTCATCCAATCGGAGTACAATGTGGCCGGCACCAGCATGTTTGGCTTCAACACGCCCAAAAAACGCGATGCCATGGCCCTGGCCGCCCTAAATGCCACGCCCAAGACACCAAAAACCCCGCGATTGGGCCTCAAAACCCCGGACACCAAGCGCAAGAAGTCCACTGATCAGCCAAAGACACCCGCCCATGTGCGCAGCCGTGTCAAGAATCGTATGTAGTCGTTTCCTTGGTCTTCTTATATGTATTATAATATTAACAAATATTTTACTGTTCCAGAGATTGCCAAAATAGTGGCCGACTCGGATGAGGATTTCTCCGGCGATGAAAGCGACTTCCAGCCCACTGATGAGCACTCCTCCTCCAGCAGTAGTAACAGCGATGGCGCCGACTCCTCAGACAACGATGCCGCCGATGATGAGCCAAAGACGCCCTGCAAAGCCCGTCGTGCCATTGTGGTCCCCGTTCTGCCCAAAACTCCATCGGCAGCTCGGCTCAGACAATCGGCGAGGGCCAAGAAATCGAATGAGTTTGTGCCCGAGAGCGATGGCTACTTCCACTCACATGCCAGCAGCAAGATCCTCACCTCGGATCACACTTTGGACCGTTTGAAGAATCCCCGCCTGGCCGCCGATCGTGTGTTTAGCTTGCTGTCCGAAATGAAGCTATCCACGGAGCATGAGACCTCCATTAATGCCATTATGGAGGAGTATCGTTCATACTTTCCCAAGTGGATGTGCATCCTGAACGAGGGCTTCAATATTCTCCTATATGGATTGGGCTCCAAGCGGCAGTTGCTGCAGTCATTCCATCGCGAGGTTTTGGAGAAACAAACAGTACTGGTGGTGAATGGCTTCTTTCCTAGTCTGACGCTTAAGGATGTGCTGGACAGCATCACAAGCGAGATCTTGGACGCGGGCGTTAGTCCGGCCAATCCGCATGAAGCTGTGGACATGATCGAAGAGGAGTTTGCCCTGATACCTGAGACACATTTGTTTTTAATTGTCCACAATCTGGATGGAGCGATGTTGCGCAATGTGAAGGCTCAGGCAATTCTATCGCGTCTGGCGCGAGTGCCAAATATCCATCTGCTGGCTTCTATCGATCACATTAATACACCATTGCGTGAGTACTCATGTGGTTTGCAAGTTACTTTAAAAATAACCTATTTTATTGAGGGGTTATATTATCGTCAGTTATCCAAAATTAAGCAAAAACTTAATCAGTTATTCTTTTCCATTTTGCAGTTTGGGACCAAGGAAAGCTAAGCAGCTTCAACTTCTCGTGGTGGGACTGCACCACCATGCTGCCATATACGAACGAAACTGCCTTCGAGAATTCGTTGCTGGTGCAGAATTCCGGGGAACTGGCCCTCTCCTCGATGCGCAGTGTGTTCTCCTCGCTGACGACCAACTCGCGTGGCATATACATGCTTATTGTCAAGTACCAACTGAAGAATAAGGGAAATGCCACATACCAGGGCATGCCATTCCGGGACCTTTACTCAAGTTGTCGCGAGGCCTTCTTAGTCAGTTCGGATCTTGCCCTGCGCGCTCAACTCACAGAGTTCCTTGATCACAAACTGGTCAAGTCAAAGCGAAGCGTTGATGGCTCCGAACAGCTAACCATTCCCATTGATGGCGGACTGCTGCAGCAGTTCCTCGAGGAGCAGGAGAAGAAATAAGCCGTCGACGTAATTTTAGAACATATTAATTTATTATCTAATATTGTTAAATACAATTACAATTTCGCTTTTTAAAAATGTCGTGTTGCTGTCACTTGTATTGCCCATTAGTGCAGAATTTTCTTTGTTTGTCAAGTTCTACACATTTAGATTGGCATGCATAAAAGTTGTCGGTTTACTAGATACACATTTTAGATGGCTAGTTTTGTCTTCCCCAAACTGAGTTCCTTCCAATTGCGAGCAGAGCAACACAAAACTTAACACTCCAAGTGCTTACCACCTTCGGGGATGACCGCAATTATATTAGATTAGGATTAGATGAGGCGAAATAAATATAGCTAAGCATGCCAAAATTATACAACTCCCTACCGGTCATCCCGTGGTTCCATCCATTCCAAAGGCTAATATTGGTTACCTATTACTATACAGACACGCACATACACAGATTAAAGCATTGGACTTGTAACTAGTTAATTGTGCATTCGAAACAAAATGAAATTGCTGCGTCTAAGGCTAGTTTATTTACACTTTCTTGATAGATAGCAAATCACATGCAATGTCAATCGGAAGTACACATACAATGGAAATCGTTCGTAGTTGATCCTATCATTATTATTTTACGTTATTGCAAAAATTCTACCCTTTCCTGAATACCTGAATTGTACACACCAAGTTTACGATCTGCATTTTAGCATATAAAATTGTCATCTCTGCCTCGCTTTTCGTTTATTTAATAGTTAGATAAATTGTTATCACGTTTACTTTACTCGTATATTTAACGTTCGTTTGTGGGAAAAGTTGAAATGTTCTGAATCAATCAGAAGAGAAACCACCCAAAAGGATCTCCCCTTTACAAAATGAATCGATGCATAAGTGTTTTTGTTTTTTTTCAGTTTATATCTGCTTACTATACACAAATTGCTACTGTTTGCATTTATTTCGACAATGTTTGTTTGTTTTTATAGTTTTGTACAACAAATTAATTACAGTTTGCGCTTAAACAAAGAGAAACAAGATGCTGATTTTAAATACTTAAGAAAAGAAAAGACAAACAAAAAGAAGTGAATAGAGACGAATATTGAAAAATAGAACTTGGGGATAGTGGGAGCTCCCTCTGGTAAACAATTAATTTATACATTCTCCTCAACTTCAAGGGGAGGGCGTGGATTTTGGTGGGTGGGTGCAAATAAACCTTGAATGCTTTGAAAATTGTTCCGAGTTTACATATACACAATATATAAATCAACTTCATTATCATATCCGTATCATTACTCATTTACTCGTTACTCATTAGTCATACTCATCGAATATACATCACAATCAAAGTGTACGCTTTGTAATTATACGCAGTAATCGGTAATCATAATCTTTATAATTATTATAATAATAATAGTTACGCTCTCAGTGAATTTCTTTATTTTTTGTTGTATTTATGCCTTCGATTTATTACTTTTACTTTTTACTTTACTTTAAATTTAATTTATTTAAATTTAAATTTCCTTTTTTGTTTTTTATGCTCTTTTTTTGTTTGTATTATTTGTTTTTTTTCTTTAATTGCTGCTTTTGTTTCAAGTTTGGACTTAAAATTTAAATTATTTCATAATTATTACTCGTAAACATATTAATCATAGGTAATATTAAATCAACAAATAAAATACATTTAAAACCAAGATTTATCAAATTGAATTAAATTACTTGAAATCGAAACAATAAACTGTTTTGCTTTTTCTCCTGCATTTGCATAATCTTTCTGCTGTTGATATAATTTATTGTACCCATGTGAAATATTTAATCGATCGATTGGGGGCCAATCTCAAGAAAGCATTCGGCAATAGTTTGTAGTATCGCAGTATGCTTTCTTGAGGTTGGTCGTTAATTGATCGATCAAATATTTCACATGTCTACTGCATCGGTTGAAGTTCTCATTTCTATTGCAAGTGGTGAATCGATTGTTGGTATTGGGTTGTTGTTGCTTGTTGATTGTTGTTGGTGTACGATTTGCTGTTGTTGTTGTTGGTGTAGTTGTTGTATTGTTGTTTCAGCTCATTTTCACGCGTTTCCTTGGTGGTCCAATTGGTGGGATTTGTTGTGTTGCGAGCGCACGAAATGCCTCCGCTATCAAATGTGAATGTGTTGTGATCATATTTTGCCATCCGGAGGTTTCCATCACATCGGTGGCATGACTGTAAAATAGATTAAACCGTTGGTTAGTTAACTGGTTCGTTGAAATTTAACAACTTGAAAGACTTACGTATTTATGAAATCTATCGTTTGTGCTTTCAATTGATCCGCACTGTGGAGATCAGCTAATATTAGTGTTTCGGCTGCTGTTTCTACAGAGAGATTGACGCACAGCGCCTCCTCGCACATCACTTTCAGCTTTTCGAGTGCATACTGTAATAATAAATGAATATATATTATTTATAGGCACTGTCAGTTTTTATCTTATGGCAATCATACCTTATCAGCAGCCGCTAGGAGATCATCAGCCATTTTTTCTAGATTGGGCGCCTTGCCCGTGTATATGAATCGCAGCATTTCTTTAAGAACCTCATGATCCACATCGGTTATGGCGACACGATTCAGCTTTCGCTCCTCCATCTCATGCTCAAACATGGCCGCAAAGACATCGCTGCGCGCTGTAAATTTAATAATTTAGAATAATATTAGTTGAAGGGCATTTAAACGGGAGTATAGGCCAATTGGTTTCAAAAACAATTCATGGTTGAATTCAACTTAAGCTTAGGTTTATTATGAAAGTATCTCAATAAAACGTAAATTGAAAAAGGATTGGATTTTAAATAGTACTTCTCGGTGCATATTTCTTACCTGCCAGTATGGCCTTGTGCGCCTGGAACTCCCGACCGCCCACGGAGAGCGTGACGTCGCTGAACTTCTCGTTGTCAAAGAGATTGCCGAGATCCTCGGACAGCTTGCACTCGGGCACTTTGAACTGCACGATATTGGATTGTCCGGAGATGTTCACGCTGTCCGCGACGACGCTGACCTCGCAGAAGATGGTCAGCTTGTCCTCCGGCAGCAGGCCGTTGGCCTCGTCCAGCAGGAAGTCGCGGCGAATGAACTTCTTGAAGCCCCAATCTTTGCCCTGCACAAAACGATAAGCTCTGCGGAATAGAGATGATAATATTAGTGACTGAAATTCATTACATAGCTTATAGAGAACGCTTACCTTTGGGATTCCATGGCTTTGGTTTCCTCACGCTTTGCATTCAGTATGGAAAATTTGAACTTTGCTCTGACTTCTGATTTATTACACGAAACTAACAGTAAATATAATGAAAGGTAATCCTTGCTCTCCTCGTCGAGACCCTTGGGGTTAACGCGTAAACACCTGTAAAGCGAAAATGCATTCATTTAGTAAGTTGTACATTAGTTTGCTTAATTTATTCACTCACCATTTCAGTTTGTCATTAGCACCGGCTGAGAATGTGGACGATTTGAGTACTTCACCCATCTCCTCCCGACAAAAACTAAAGTTATTTATGGTCCACATATAACTAAATTTAACCACTTTGACCTAAGGAACAAAGAAACAGAAAATATGGTTAATAAAAATCCATGTAAATCGTGTAACAAAGTTCTCCGATTTCCCCCATCTGAGCCACACCACACACCTGTAGTTGCATACACAGCGGAAATGCATTTACCGCCTTAAAACAAAATGGATTCAGTTTACAACATTTGTGAAATCCGATCGGATCGGCTGGCTCAGATGTTTTGCAAATCCATAGGAATGCCAAAAACCCACACAGGGATGTGGAAATTTAATCCGTTCGTGGGGATTTACCTGCGTATAACACCAGTTCTCGGCAACTGGCGTATTAACTTCCGGCAAGGGCGGCGAAGGTACACGGCTGACCGCCATCGTGCTACTGGATGCGTGCAGGTTCGAGGTGACTCTAGCTGTTTGGCTTGCCTGACATTCGTTCACCGGCAATCTGCAAAGGAGAAACATATTGGGGATTAGTAAAGAAGATTTTAGGATCAAATACTATAGTTGTCTAAATGTATATATAATTTAATTTAATTTAATTTTAGATCATAAAGAACACTTAATTCTAGTTATTTCTTTTTTGGGTAATCCGAAAATGTGCTGGTATATTTTAATTTAAGAAAACTAAAAAAAAGTTTAAATTACTAAATACATATGTAAAGCCGTTGTAAGAACTTATAGGTTATCTTGAAAAATTGGTATTTATCAAGATGTTTTCTATTAACTTTTTAAGTCCATGATCATTTAAGAAAGGGGTTAAATCGGTATTATAGAAACGTAGGGGTCACCTTGGCTCTTGTATGAGGTCCATGATGCTGCGCTCGAATTCAACTTTGACGAAATTGCTGTCGGAATTCGAGTGCCTGGCCAAAAGATTGAGCAGTTTCAACAGCAGCGAGTTCTCCAGCTTGCCGCCCGTTGAACAAACACAAAATCACACAGAAAACTTTTCGAAAAGTTTACAATTTAAAAAAATAAATGTTTTTAAGACAATTTCTAATTAAAACGATGGACGAGACACAAACGCGTGGACAAGACGAAACGAAGTGCGCCAAAAAGTGCAGCGTTCATAATGGCTGAAGATTGGTTCAAAGGCCGTTATTCCGCACAGAAGTCAGCAATTAACAGCGAACGAGAGACTTGGTCCAGATAAAGATAGAGCTTTCGAAGCTTTTTAACTAAGATTTATCGTTCTAAAGAGCAGCAGCAACAGCAGCAGCAGCAAAAAATAAAGATGAAACGTTATATTTTATCACAAGGAAAACACAACCGTTGCGCAGGAGCAGCAAAGGAAAACTGAGTGATGGACCTGGAAAATCTCGGCAGGCAGGAGGATTTAAGAACGCTGCAGATGACAACAAACAATGGACCAGGAAAATGTTAGCCAGGAGTGGAAAATTGACAAACAATGGGTCAGCGCATCGCGGCAGTTGAGGGTGAAGGTGAACGTGAACGTGAGCGAGTAGCTCACCTTAGAAAGGTGCAAAATGGTGAGCGGAGAGCGGAGAGGGGAGAGGGGGAGGAGGATGGGCAGAAGGATCTGACACACAAAAGCAACAATAACAGTCCTTTTCATATGTGTTTTCAGTCGCGCAGATGTAGATGCAGATGGAAGACGGCAAATGGCAGAGGAAGCTGCGTTCTTACACGCAGAAAAATAAGTATCAACACAAATTTGTCATCAAAAATTGCTGTTAAAAACTGAGCGTTTTCTTAGTTTTAAAGATGTAAATGTGGTGCAAAATGTTGTGTTTTTTATACAAATAAGTTTCAAACTAAAACTAGATTTGCAAGACTTAAAGGTATAAAGTACATAAATTATTGGTTAAACAAGGTAGTTGAGGAGTTTAAGGACTAAAAAATTATTTCCACCAAATTAATAGACTTTAAAATGATACGCGAAGCATTCTTATACGATTTGGTTGTAAAAAACTAATGAAATGAAAGCAATATTTGCTGTTTTATTATTTTAGAAGGTAAACAAACTAATTGCATAATATTCAAGGACATCAATTGGAGACTGCTATTGATTTCACATTTTTCCCTGTGCACAACCTGGCGTTGGAAAAGTCGGAAAATCTGTGCAAGGCTGAGGCACACGAGCGATTTACAGCTCAGCTCAGCTCGACAAGGTTGAGATTTTCAAGGTGCTGCCCGTTTTCTGCGGCTGCTGGCGATTTGATGGCCATCATCAAATCCAGCTGAAGGACCTTCAATGGGTCTCGTGTGCGTGAGAGTGTGTATGAGTATGTGTGTGAGTGCGAGTGTGAGCCATCAAAAGGTTGACGCAGCTCGTCAAGGTGAACAAACCGTAGACCGCGTTTTTAGCACTCTGTTAAGCCGCTTTATTCAATTTTAGTGAGTGTGCCTTAATGTTAATGACATTGATTTGGCATTGGAGCCCCAAGCTCCCTCTACCCAAATATACCTCACTTTATTGCTCGCCCATCCAAGGGCCCGAGCCAAACATTTTTGTTTTGCTATGACATTGAAAATCATTTGTTTGGCGCCACAAGGCGAATGACAAAATCACAGAAGTTGGGCCATAGAAGGTTAAGCTTGGGAACGAAATGCAGTCAGAACCTCATAATCGAATAAAAGCAGTCAAAGGTGGAACCTATGACTCATCAAAAACAATAAGCCACAACAAAATTGTAAAGAAAATATATGGTAAAGTATAGGTACAAGTATGAAACTAAAGTTGATATTTTAGTAATTAGATATTGTAATATAACACTGTTGGAAAAATAATTAAAAACTTTATTTCATTAAACTCTGTCTTTTCCTATAAACAAAAACAGTTTGTAAACACTGACACCACCCCCACCAAAATTGTAGTATAAACAATGACCATACTTCTGTTTAATGGGTCAATGTAAATAAATTTAAATTGTTTGGCAAACACACACCTTGTCATAAATTCCCTTGTTTTCCATAACTTTAACCCAAGGCATGCCATTAGTTTTGCTTACTTAGCCACCAGAAACCATTAGTTTTGATGCAGAGTAAGCCCACACAGCATTGTGAGTGGTCCAAAGGATCAGGGCCAAAAGGTCTGAACAAACATCCGCCAGCTGTGATGCGACGAATGCAGTTGGACATGGATCGAGGAATCAAAAATTCGACACACACAGATACATTGGTAGAACTCTTCTCCCCGGGGGATCTGCCATTTGTGTGGGCTCTTCGATCAAATGGAATGTGAATTTATGACAAATGAAGGGAGAGCACGCGTTAAAGAAATTTAATAAATCGTTTTAGTCCGGGAAAACTGGTTTCTTTAGACTTGATGAAGCAGCTGCTCATTGGGAAAAACTAAGAAGCAGAGAGACTACCGATTTTCACCAACAACAAAAAAAAAGGAAAAGTTATATAATTTGGCAGCGACTCGCTTTGGCGCTTTCCACATTTCCGGCAACTTTTCATTAGCATTTAAATGAAATTTGATAAAGGCAGCAACAACAAAAGGCAATAATAAACGAAACGAGCAGCGGCAACAACAACAATAGCAACAAAAACTGAAAATGGTGAAAATATTTCATTTTTTTTTACAACAAATTATCGCATGGCTTTTCACTTGGCGTTTTCACCAACAACAAAAGCAGCAACAAAGGCTCCTTTCACTCGCCGCCTAAACAACAACAAATGAGTTGAGTGAAAAACGCTTTTCAGTTGTCGTCGTTGTTTTCGAGCCAAAAGGAAACGCTTTTCTTTGCTTTTCTTTTGGTTTTTACATAAATGCGGCGCCGCCGTCGTCGCCGTCGCAAAAACACAGATGCAAAGATACATTTTTCAGTCGCCAGCCAGAGCGGGGTAAAGAAGAAGAAGCAGCGGCGGCAGCAATTTAATTTAAATAATGTGAACTTTCATGCCAATGAAAATGATTTCAAAAGAGAAACTCAACGCAGTCCAACTCCCAAAACAAACTCGACAACTTCACTTCCGCTACAAATGCAACAGCGGCAACAGCAGCGCCAAAAACAACATGAGCAACCACATCTTGAACAACGCAAAACAACAATGATGACACCCACCCAACCAAAAGATTAACTTTGGCACAAGGAAAAATTGGGGGGTTGTGGGTTAAGATGAAAACTACCAAAATATTAAGTATCCTATTTGTTAAGTAAATAAAATAACAAAAAAATATAATAACTGCTATCGATTATTAAAAATATATATATGTTTCCTATAGAATTTTCATTCTTTTAACGTTGTAATTTCATAAAAAAAAGGTCCAGTTAAAATTTATTTTAGATTTAGAGTAAATAACTATTTTGTTTTATAGAACTTATATTTATATCTTCAGAATTTAAAGATGTTTAAACTTGTAAATAAATTTTTAAAATATGGTATCATATTATATAGTAATCACGACTTGATTTAAACAGATATTTAAACCAGAAAGGTATTAAAACACTCCAGTTAAATGGACACAAAATGTATGATACCATTTTGATACCATTCTAAGGGTAATCCCCACTTCCAATCCCCAACTTTTTTAAAGTGTGCTAACCACTCACGACAATTCGAAAATCTTTCTCCACTCTCCCCGTGGAGTGTCAACAGTTTGACGCATATTAATTTTAAAAACTCCCACGCTCAACATTTCATTCGGTTTCTTCGCTTTTGGCTGGGTTTGTTTTCATTTTGGTGTTTGGAGGGGTTTCGTTTTGGGTCTTTCACTCAAGTCGCTCGGTCGACGGTCGTCGATTCGATGCGTCGTCCATTTGCCTTTGGAGTTACTTTGTAGTTGGCATTTCTGCGGAGGGAGAGAAAGCTCCGGCCCCCAGCTTGTCGTCTCGCTCGATCTCTGTTGCTCTCACACTCGCACTCGCACTCTGCAGTTTTGCTTGCAGTTTTTCGTGAAAGTCGATCCGCAGTTGTTGTTGTTATATAAAGCGTACGAAATCATGTAAGTAGAGTGAAATTTGCCTGCTGTTTTTTTTTTTTTTTTGCTGCCTTGTTTAGCCTATGCGATTGTTTTTCGCACTAATGAAAACAATTGAAAGTTGTGGAAATTATGTTTCCATAATTATACCCTTAAATGATTGGACTTTTCCTCTGCATTGCTTACATTAAACCAATTAATGGATCAATAAACTTTGAAATAAGTTGTAAAAACTAAGGATGATGATAACTAAGAATTGAAGTTCATTTAAGATTTGTATGTAAACATTTATTTAAACAATAATAAAGCAATTAACCCCATTTTTAAACCATTGTTATTAGATCTGAGCTCATTTTGAGAAATCTGCACCAAAAAAACCATGTCGCAATAAACAACGCGTCCTATTTTCCACGCATAAGTTTAATGTTGTTAATTTTTACATAACTGCCGTTGCTTGCTTTTCGGATTTCAAATGCTAATCATCGTGTGTCACAGTTTGTGTGGCCAAAAAACTAGGCCGCCACAACCCAAAACGATTTTTGCTACATTTGTTTGAAACTTTGTTTTGTTTTTAGTCTTGTTTGGGATTGCAGCATAAATGAAAGTTAGTGTTGTGTTAATCACAAATAATAATGAGGGGAAAACATATTTCGATTACGTAAAAACAGCGAAAGGCAGCATAGGAAATGAGGTGTAACCATTTGAGTGGCGATATTACATCGATAATTCGTTATTATTATAATTATTAGACAATTTATTTTTACTATCAAAATAAAATATCAATAATATCGATGTTTCGTTGAAGCCATAATAAAATCATTTATAAATGCTCTATATTGATACAACTTAAATATAAGCATCATGTTTTAATTTAAAAGTAAAAAGCTTTTCAAAATGATATCTACATTTTCTGAATGCGCAGGCGCGTAGGCGTTTCGACGTCGACGCCGGCAGCGCAGTTGGCAGCGAGTTTCACCAAAAAAATAAATAAACCCGAAGCAAAAACTACGAAAAAAAAAGAAGCGAAACCCGAAGCTTAAAACGAGAGCAAGTTTGCTGACAGCGGAACGAGACTTTATGTAATCGTAAAAACTTGTTTGATGACGTATGTAGCTTGGAGCCGAGCTCCAGCGATCTCTCTTAATTCCTCTCTTCAACTTCTCTTAACTAAAAGCACGTTGTCGTTTTAGCGCGTGTCTCAAAATACATATACATATATATATATATATCACCTTTTACCAGCTGCTTTTGTTGGATAATAAATTTTCAAATAGCAAACAAGTCTGCGGGCAGAGCAGAAATGAAATCAATAAATTAATAATAAACCACATGTTGTGTGCCCAATTTTCATTGAAACGTTTTGGGCCAAACTTTTAGCTTGTTTGCATTTTGCCGCTTTTACCTCTTTCTCTGCACTTTCTAAACAAATTGTGAGTGAGAGAGAAGAAATTGGCTTTCATGCGTTTTCACATTTTGTTTTTGTCGTGCTTTCTTTTTTCTTTCTTTTTTTTTTTTTGTGTGGCGTTTTGTTGGGATTTCTACTACTTTTTCTTTAGGCGCAAGCGTCGTGATCTTGTTGGCTTAAAAGATCTTCTTTTTTATTGGCTTAGAAATTCTTGCCTGATTTCTTCGAGAGATCTGTATCTGTTCTAAATAAAATGTGGGTTGAGTGAAAGACTGGGGCGTGATTTTCGGTTTACGATTATTGGGTGAAATGTGTGAAACGAAGTGAAAACTCTGGGCCCGAGTTCAATTATAGTAAAAATATAAAAATGATTACTTGTTTTAGTTTAACGGCAGCTATGTTAATGAATTTAATTTCGCTATTTTTGAAAGTTATACATTTTAAATAATTTATACACAAAAAACATGGGGAGACAACGACCGGCAAAAAGTGGAAAGTTGCAATGCAACGCAACACGATCTGTTGTTAATAATTGGTTAAATTCAGGCTTTTGGTGAAAGGAATTGATTAGTAAACGGAAGCCCGAAAAGTTCATTGCATAATGTTGCAGCAACATGTTGCCGGGGCGCCGGGCAACATGACCAGAAATGCCAGCCCTTTCACAGCGAAAATCAGTCAAGCAAACTTCCCGTCTCTTCCCATTCGAGCAGATAAAACACAAAAACCGCATAGCGAGACCAAAGGGAAGGCTATACACCCTGTATTCGAAATGCAGAAAGGGGTTTTTGGGGTTTAAAACTGGAGAGGAAGTAGAAAATGAAATGAATTTTGAAAGTTGAATTCAACTATGGTTAATTGTGATCAGGTTTATACCTTTAAAATAATATTGCAGCTATAAATTGTAGTTTAAAATAATATATATTAAAATAATAATCTTATATATTATTTTAACCGCAAACAGTTTTGAGTTACACAATTACGTTCGTCGCCAGATTCTTACTTGAAAGTTTTTTATAATAGAAATTACATACTAAAAGCAAACACCCTCGAGTGATGATTCGTCGAGTAGAGCTTACAAATTACTTTTCCTAAGAAGTACATTTCCAATAAAAAAACTCGAAACCTGTGTATGCCTGTTTTTCTATATAAGTATATATTTAAGTTCGTCAGCCGAATCCCAGCCGATAAAGTGCAGTCCGCAATCAACGGCTCATGACTCAGATTTGCCAGTCGGCGGCTGGGACAAAGAACATTTTTTATTCGAAATACTGCGGATTATCGGGCAATTTGCAGCAAGGCCAAAGAAAATGAGCAACAAGTGCACGAAAACCAGAACGCAGCCCTAGTGAAAAGTGAATAAGAATAAAAAAAAATAATAACAATTACTGGCACATGGTCAAAAGCATTAAGAAAGAAACCAAGCACGAGCTCATGGTCTCAATTCTGCAGCTCTCTTCTTCAATGACAAAGCAGCTACTGCTGCTGTAGATGTTGCTGCTGTGCTGTTGCTGCTGCTGTTGTACATGTTGGTGCTGTGCTGTTGCTGCTGCAGCTGTTTGCTGACCCCAAATGACAAAGGTTGGCACGCAAGTCGCCCACGCCCATTAATTAACCGAAAATTGAGAGCCACTCAAACAAAAAAACCGGGGAGGGGGAAAACAAAAAAGATAAAATACAGTAGAGAGGCCCCCCCCTCCCTTCCATTCTATCAGCGTTTGTGTTTACCAAATTGGAATATTTTCCGTTCATCTTTTTGAGGTTAGGCGAACGCCTTTTGGGGTCACCGTGTGAAAGCAGCAACAAGAACGAAAAGGAGAGCATGTCGGTGCGAAAGAGAAAGCCTACTCACAATGAAAGAGTCAGCGACATGTAGCAGCTATTAAGGGTGGCTGATATATTGAGAGAACTTAATTACTTAAGTTTTGTTTATTCGCCCCGGGGAAAAGTTACGACATTTTCCAGTTCTCGATGGGTGAAATGTATAACGGCAAACATACAGCTCGGGTGGTTCAGGGTGATCAATAGAATTAGTAAGCAAATCATCAAGTTTCCACACTAAAGAAACCAATTACTTACGCAAGTAAGGTCATCTGAAAAAACCATCTAGGTTACCCCGAGGTTGCTAACTAAAACCGAAACGAAACAAACTCTCGGTTATACAGAAAACTACAAGTCATCAAAATTAAATATATATTTATGTGTATGCGCATATATATATATACTGCCCCCCACACAAGCCATCAAAATAGCAGAGAAACTTTTACAAAACAAACTGTTGTTTGTTCGGCGGTTTTGTTTGTTGTGGCCGTAACTCAAGGATGTGACAATGGTTACTCGAAATGTGGCCCAGAACGTAAGTAGTTCAGGGTGGAAAAGGTCCTGGGAATTAAACTGGGTCATCAGCACGCTCCGTGCCACACATCTCAAGTGGATTTTGGGTTCCAATTGGTTGGCTAACGACTGTTAGCATAAGCTATTGTTGGCCAGCTTGTGATACCAATTACTTGTTGCTAAGCTGGGGCAATTGGACGACCTTTAGATTTTGTGTTGGGTTATTGGAAAGCTCTTTTGAGGTATTCCCATAGTAATGGCAAGATATGGTCAGTTATTAACTAACTGATTAACATATTAAATAATATGTATGTAATATTATCGGAATTGTTTTTATATGACTCAAGTATTTTATTGGCGTTTCCTGAGATTGCTATAAAAAAATCAGCGATTATTGTTCTAAAAATCGGTTTTAAGTGTTTCATTACCTTTGCTAAAGTTTTCCCTCGCTAATTCAGCTCATTGCATTCACTTATTTTGTTTACCCAATTTACAAATATTTCGCAACCAATCAGATAATGCTTTAAAGTTCAGCTTTTGTCATTTACTGATCGCCACACATTCAAGACCACCTACTTTATCATACAAATAGTGTGCATTTCACATAGCTACTGCTTTTTAAGTAGGTGTAAATGGCTCATATGCACAAATGCCAATGGCTGGCATTTAAACCGCAATAATATTTATGTAAATACAGAGATGCCCTGTTAAAACCTAGTCTGTTTTCTTTTAATTACCGTCTAAAACGCCGTTTACACGTAACACACACACACAAAATGGGGAAAAGCGATTGTAAATGGGCCAATTGGAGTGGTATATTTACCTTTTATCACAGAAACTTGCGGCGGCGTTACAAAATTCCTTAGAATTGGGGCATTTAACTAATAATACTAGGCACAGAGGAGATTGTTGTGGTTGCTGTAGATTGTTGCTGCTGTTGCTGTTGCTGCTGCTGCTGTGGTGTTGATGATGGCTGTTGCTGTGGTGATGGTTTTGCTGTTGCTGCTGATGCTGCTGCTGTGCAGGATGGGCGCAATTATAGTGTTGCTGTTGTACCGACGATTGCTGATAGGAGGAGGCGGACGACGACGATGATGATGATGTGGATGCAGAGGATGAGGATGCGCTGAGGGGATGGTGATGTTGCTGCTGGTTCAGATGCCGCCTGATGGACTGATTGATGCGATTAGTTATGGAGTTGGTCAGCGCCGAATGATGGCTATGCAGATGGTGCGATGAAGAGGAGGATGAGGCAGCCTGTGAAGAGGAGGCTGATGAAGAGGAGGCGGCTCCAAACAGGCGGCTGGCAATGATGCTGTTGCTGTGGTGATTGTTGCTACTGTTGCTGCTACTGCTGTTGCTGTTGCTGTTGCTGTTCCCGCCGTTGTAGTGCGTATTGCCTGCACAGGCGCTGCTGCAGTTGTTGGAGGAAATCGCACTGGACGAGGGCGAGGGTGCGGAGCGCGTTAGTATGTGTTGCAAGTTGCTGCTGCCGAATGCCGCCTGCAATATGTTGCTGGGTGTTGCCAAATGCTGCGCCAGTGTTGCCGAGCCACTTCTACTGGTTGCTGCTGCTGCAGTTGCTCCACTTTCGTAATTCAGGTGACCCAAATGCTGTTGCAAAACTGAAGGCGCAGCTTGCTGCTGCTGCTGCTGCGGTGGTGGTTGCCGCTGCTGTTGTTGCTGGCGTGTGTGGGTGGTGTTGCTGCTGTTGCTGTTGCAGCGACGATCTGCGCAATAATACTGGTGGCGTCGATATCAATTGCTGCAGGCGACTGCAGTTGCCGCTACTGCTGCTGCTTGCCGCTGCTCCTGTGGCGACTGTTGCTGTTGCCGCGGATGTTGCTGTTACAGATGTTGCCGCTGCAGTTGCAATTTCAGGTCCATTCTGCGGCTCTCCGTTGTCGCAGCAACAATTATCGCTGGTAGCAGGTTGCTGCTGCTGTTGCTGCTGCAGTTGCTGCTGCTCTAAATTCTCATTTTCATAGATTTCATGCACACTTCGCTTTTTCTTGATTTTCACATAGGGCTCAAACATTTTACAATTTTTATTGCAAACACTTCAACACTCACACACCTTTTGGCTTTTCTTATATGTATTTTCAAAAAATATACAGATTCTCCTGGTTTATAAAAATTGCTCAACTTTTTTGTGCTTATAAATTTTTCATTTGAACAAATCTTTTTGATTGCCACATGCCGTTTGCTTGTTATTTAGTTGCCTTACGATTTGTATAATTTTCGAGTGTGTGCTCGATTTTTTGTTTCGAGTAGTATTTTTGATTTTTTTATATTTGGTGGGCGACACACTATGCGAGCGAGAAGGCGAATCGAATCGAATCGCAATCGAGTCGAGAGCTGACCAAACGAACGAACCGCTCCGCTTGAAAGTGCGCGTTGAATTGAGTTGAAATTCGAAAATACAGATACAAATTTCCGTCGTCCACTCTCGACGTTGACTGCGAAGTCTACGACGGCTGCGACGGCGGCAGCGCTGCCTGACGCGTTTCAATTCTCATTTCGTTTCGTTTGGTTTCTCTCTCTGCGTTTCACCATGTAACACACACGCACACCTACACTTTCGACTCGCTTTGTGTGAGGTCGATGAGCACATATGGAAACGAGCGAGAAAGTTATGGACAAGAGGTTCGACAAGGTGGTACCCTCTATTCCCCGTACAGTAGTAGAAATTGTAGAAAACTTTCCTGTTTTTAAACATACCAATAATTTTTGGATTATTCATAATGAATTCCAAATTATTTATAGTACAGTCTTAATTCTGTACTCATAGATTGTTGTCCGCGTTTTGGATACACATTTTAGGAATTGGATGGAAGAATAAGAAGTCATAGACCATTAAAAGACTAGAAACATCAAGAGCCTGCATTCTTAAATTCACTATTATAGTTTGTTCAAAACTCGAGATACGGATAGATAGATGAAATGGGCTGGTCAGATAATGTGTCGACTATTAAAAAATAAATCTAGTTTGACTTTCAGTAAGATACGTTCAAGTTCATATACCTTATGGGGTCTGAGGCACTTCCTACTTTCTGTTAAGTGCACGACTCTACAATCACTGGGTATTAAAAGGAAACAACGATGAGAGTGAGAGAGAAGGTGAGACCATGAGAGAGCGAGAGACCACGGCGACACTGAAAATTGAGCGCAAGTGCAAAGAGCGAGAGAGGGAGGGCGAGAGCGTGAGCGAGCGAGGGAGAGAGACAGCGTTGAGGGCCAGCTGATAAATGGTTGCGCGTGTGAGTCGTATATTGCGTATACGAGTGGGGGTGCGCGTGTGGTCTCAGGACGGAGGTTACTTTTGCCGGCGGTCCTTGGCGTGGCGATAAACGGTAATCACTTGGTCACAGAGGCGGTCCGATCCGGTACTGTCCTTCCCCAGCCCTCCGACCGACCACCTAGCCTTCTGCCGCGTCCTTCAAGGGCTTCCTATTCATATGCCACCCATACGCACAGGGCTATCGAAAATGCAGGGCTATGGAAAAGTCATCAAGGATTGGGTACTATCTGTATAGCCTCCATCTTGATACACACTCAAAAAATAAATGTTTTATTTGCCAAGGACCTTTAAAAAAATTTTACAAAAATAACTCTTGGGCTTTCCTGATTACAAAATGGTTTTGTGCTCTAAAAATATTACAAAATATAAAGTTATTCCAAACTTTTATTAATCCGGACATATAGTTGGCATTCACATAGGACATAAAAGATTTTCTTGAGTACGAAAATAATATCTTGGGACCTTGAAAATAAGTTTGCTAACATATAATTCTTAGATAAGTAAGAAACTATAATTATCTTACTCAGCTGGTTGCATTTTGAATGTTTTTATGGTCAATAAAATTATTCTACTATATTGAAAGTAAGTCAACAAAAAGATATTTTTTTGAGTTCATCCTCCCTGTTGTTCCTCTAGGAACAGTTGACATTGGAACGTCCTATCGACGCACATCGCAGGGAAACGTAAGCTGTCGTCCTTTGTCAGCAAATGTTTTTTCTTTTTTTTTGGGTGGAACATTGTGCTTGTACTCGGCTTGTTTGTGTGTATCCAAATGGGGCGTTGTCGTTGTCGATGGCATTAGCCGTCCAACTACGAGTATATAGGAACCAGCAACACATGTCGCTGGCAGTCGCCCATCATCACAAAACTCTGGCGGGGCCACCCAGCTGCAGATACTCAGCCGGCGTTTTCACTCCTCACTTCGCCTCTACTCCAAATCCACTTCATCCACTTCCCACTCCTTTCCACTCAATCCACGGCAGGCCGCAGCAGTTTTCCACTTGCAACAATTGCAACTGCCACAGCAACAACTACTCTGATGTACAGAGAAAAAATCATTACGATTGGTGGAAAAGTTTGAAATTTAAACTTTTTATTTTACAAAAATTTTATTTTTAGCAATAACAAAAGGGTAATATTACGTAAGAAAAATATATAATTTATGTTTGGTTTTTGAACAAAATCTTTATATTCCAACTCAAGTGTTTTGGTTTCATGTTTTATTGAAACCCAAAACCGATAAATATTTTGGATTAGCGACCACTTTTAAAGTACCCATTGCATTTGACTGAAAATATATATGATATATTTTTAAAATAACAATAAACTGATTAAAAAGGAAATATGAAACATTCTCAGGGAATGGAAAAACAAATTGATCGATTTTCCTTCAGTGCACGGCGGCAACTAACAACTACTCTTCACATGCCACCACTCGGCACATTCGTCTCATTTATGGCGTGCAAATTAGCATAGGGCCAAAAGGGCTTCGTGTGTGTCCTTTCGGGTCATGATGGCCACACACAAACCAGTGTCCCGTGTCCGGATCGCATCAGTTTCAGCTTCCGTCCGCTTCGCAAATCATGTGTGCGGCTCTGTAAGTGAGTGCTTGCCTGCTCATTAGTTAGATGGTCTCGCAGGCCCATTCCTCTGACATTGCCAGAATGTGTGAAAATTGGACAGTAATGCGGCCCTCCTTGTTGCCGTTGTTGTTGTTGTTGCTGGTTGGAAAGAAGACAACCCTTTGAAGTTGCGACGCTGAAGGTGTTGAAAGTAGCAACTACGATTTGTGGGCGGGGGTTGGCTCAGCTTGTGAAATTGGTTGGGTAATTGAGTTATAGCCGAAATTCGTAGTTGGACAGCAATAAAATTGTGCCTAAAATGTCACTGGAGATTTTTCATTGGTTTAACAGAGGGAGACTTTCATCAGTTTGGGTTTTAAAAATGAAACCTAAACTATTTCAAATGAGTCAAATATTCACAAAATGTTCACAGAAGAAACATTGCAATTATTTTAGTAGATAAAAAAATGTATCTTTGGATAAAAAACACCAATTAATTTAAATAGTCAGTTCAAATTGTATAACATTTGTTGCTAGCCAAGAATTTAGCAGCAAAGGTTTCTAAAGGTTCACGGACTATTCAATAAATCAACAAAAGTTCCAAGGCAAAAACTCGAATAAAAATACATTTAAACGTTTTTTATTTTATTTCGGTATGCTGCGTGTGTGTGTTTGCCCGATCATCACGATCAATTTCAAAGTTATCACCGCCCACTCGGCTAATTATGCCACAGTGGCTATATAAGGGGGGATATGTTTGAACGAATATTTGATGCCGATTTGCTCATCTTTGAAATCAAAGGCCGGAGTCGGACGTTCAGCGACCTTTGGGCTCGGACAACTGGAGGCGTTTGGTTTAACTTCCTTTCGATTTTGGCGGAAACATTCATCTCAACTGGTTCACCTTTCCACTTAGTCATTGAATCTTCAATGAGTCTCAATTTCATTGGGACTTTCACATTGCCCAGCTGACCCCTGCTGCTCCTTTCCCTCTTATATTCGCCTCTCTCTCTCTATAATCAATCGATTTTCAATGGATTTTTGTGTTGTTTTAGAAATAGAAATTTCGCTTAATGCTTTCCAATATGTTTGAGTGTGTTTGTTTGCCCCTGTGTATATGGCGATATTGCGAAATGCTCATGCACATGATTTACTTGACACTAATTTCCATAAATAAAACAAAAGTTTAATAACATCGCCCCTGCCGCTTGAATGGGTCGCTGACAATAACCCAATTTTCAATCAAGGCAGGCGCTGTCGTTCCATCGGCACAGTGGTCTCAATATTTGAATTGGTTTTCATTTTACAGACATGACTTTAAGATATATTTAATTATTAAAAGCTGTCTATGCCGCAGTGTGACCATGCTCTTGGTAATTAAGTAAAAAGATAGGAATCGTATTTTTTTAACATCATAACCATTTTTTTCTTGTTAAATTTTTTTCATTTGACTAAGCCTTAGTTATTTTTGAAAGCTGTTTCTCATAAATTACATCTGAATATAAATCCAAAAATAGAAAACATTTTAGTGAAAGAGATAACCATAAAGTATTAAAGATACCAAAAATAAAAAGGCTCTAACAATTTTGTAAATCCTGGGTAAACTTTGTAAAATCAATCAGATTTTTCATTTATTTATGAAGTCATATAAAATCCATTAAATAAAACCCATTTAAACACACTGTTTTGATGTTTATGGACGATTACTCATTTATGGCCACATTTCGAGCACGGTGCAACATTGTAATCACCTCAGATGACAAAATTGAAATCGAAGCAATCAAATCTGGAGGCTGCTCTCGGCCGATTGCGTGGGTCGTTGGTAGTGGCGTCGCTTTGGTGCGTTGACGAAAGTGTTAATTGATTCGATTGCCCTCGAACTGAAGAGAGGTGGCTTAGAGGGAAGCCCAGAAATCGGTTAGCTGCAGAGATCTAAGCCGGCGATTAGCGTGTTACGAGCTATTTGAGTTGCATCCGTTAGTAACGAGAAATGGAGTTGTAAAGCTGGCGCGAAGAGATATTGAGATACGGCATCCAAAAAAAAAAAAAAAAAAAAAATGCCGTGGGATAACTTCCGTACTCGTGCCGCGGGTGAAACTTTTCAGAGAGCGAGAGAAAGCGACTGCAGGGAAAGAGACGGGGCGAGAGCGACTTTTCGTAATCACTTTGCAGCAATTGGCGTTTTGGTTCGGTTTCGGTTTTGTCGGTTTGAACACAACGAGAAATTTACATTTCACATTTTCACAATCTTTTTTTTCTCTCTTTTCTCCCCCACCCCCACCGCCCTCCGCTCTGCTGCTCATGTAACAAATGAGTGATTGGAGCAGCTTTCCGCATTTCACACACTCACAGAGCACCGGCGATCATAGAAATCTGCGCTTTGTCGTCATCATTGACATCGTCGTCGTCTTGGCCTGGCTTTTTCGGATTTGCTGCCTTTTTCTCCGCCTTTGTTGCTTTCTTTTTGTCGACGACTCTGGGAGTTAATTGTTTGGGTAAAATCTGTTGAGGGGCCAATTTTGTAAGTGAGATTAATAGGAACGTGGGCAGTT